CTGTGGAGCCTCTACAGAACAAGAACGCCGAAGCGGTCGGCCGGGCCACCAAGCGGGCGGCCCGGGAGCTGGCGGGGGACGACGAGAACTTCGTGGTCACGACGGACCTGGGCAACGAGCTTGCCACGCTGGACCGGGAGCTGCCCGATGAGGCGGTGCACCGCACCAAGCGGCCGGAGGACCGCAACGCCATGGCAGTGGTGGACCGGGGCATCCAGACCCTCAAGAAGGACCTGGCTACCAGGGTGGCCCGCAGAGGCGGCCAGTGGAGCGACCACTTCAAGCAGGCCGCGTCGGCCTACAACGCGCGCCCCCACGAGACGGCGCACGGCGCCCCGGAGGACGTCGAGAAACAGCCGGCCACCGAGTTCAGGGTGTTGCAAGACAACGCCGACAGGTTCCAGCACAACAAGGACTTGACGAACCGGCGCATGAAGGCTTTGGAGGACGCGGGGGCGTTTCGGGCGCCCACCAACGCGGCGAGGAGCTTCAACCCCCAGCACGGCGACGTGCAGCGGCTGGCGGCCGTGGACTCCATGACCGTGCGGAGCACCGAGGGCCGGGAGACCCTGCTGACAACATGCCTTAGCTTGTCCCAAACACGACTTTGCGAATCTCGACCTTAGAGCGATCCCTGGACCCCGCCCAAAACGGCCATTCAGTTTGTGGATGCAAGCCTGACACCCATGGAACATGTGAAGCCTGTTGTGACCTTAAGTCCGCCCTGCTCCCACCTGCTAGCGCGATTTTTGTACACTCACAAAAGTTTCAGCACATCCAGCTGCGCAATGATGGTCTCGCAACTCATGAGAGAGTATTTCTTCTCCTCCTGACGTCTGGCCCATGTCTCGTTTGTAAAGGACTGCCAGCCTTCAGACTCACTGCAAAGTTTTCCTTGCCTGCATCCTTTTTCTTTCCATAACGACATTGCGCAGCAATGAACTCGAGCCCACCAGTTGCCTTGCATCTCACAGGGATCAAAAGGTCGTGGTGAGCCGTTGCAAAATTCCGGTTGGACTTGATGGCCTTCCCAACGTCACTCCGTCACTCATGACAGTTGCTTCATTGCCTTGGCCGCTTGGATATTCCACACCATCACTCCAGCAAACTTCGAACGGCTCCAAAACAGCTCGCAAATGTGGATCCTCCGTAGGGTAGATCTCCAAAAAAGGGACCCAGGTGACTTCAGCACTCAGGTTTCTTGCTATGCAGTGAAGGCGGAACCGCGCTGCCAGGGAGCTTGCAACCAGCTCTTCCCACTTCTCCCCCCTTTCAGTGGCACCCCTTGTTGGGCTGTTGAGCAACTGCAAAGAATCTGGCAGGAGCCCCTCCAGGTCAATGTTCAGCTCTTTCAAATCGTTTCGGATGGCGTCTTTGATATTGGTATCCTCACACCGCCACAGCCGTGGAACCAGTACAGACTTGTTGTTTGGAAATGCTGCTCCGGCCCTGAAGATGTCTGCTAACCCAGCAGCAATGCAATCCTGTTGCCGGAGGATTGACGGAAACGCAACCCAAGGCTCACATGCAGCAAATGAGGCCAAGAGAATTCCACCCTTCTGCTCTGAGTTGCCGTTGCGCTTAGAAAGCACTTATCATGCTTTTCGAGCCACAAAGCTCCGCAACAGAAACGCACTTACAAGGCCAGAAACAGCACTTTAAGCCCGGGCAACTTAAACTTCCGAGACGCACAGAATGCGACTAGGACCCGTTTTGCCTGCATATTGAAGCAAGCTGAAAACCCTTGCAGAAGTGCAAGCAGAAGGGCTGTGGCCGCACCGCGCAAAACCACCAAATTTTCGCAGAATCCACATTTTGCTGAATAATAACCTCTGAAGATGCGCTGTGAGCGGTTTTAGATTTCACAAATAACAGAGAGAGGCTGGAGCAAATCGCGAACGCTGTGAGCGATATCTGGCGGAACTGCAGATGGCGCGGGAGCGGGCTGCTCTGCTTGAGGGGGAGGCCAACCGTGAGACTTGGCGCCGTGAGGCGCTGGAGCGCCGCGTCGAGATCCTCGAGGAAGAGAACAGAAATCTTCGCAGGCAAACGCACTGATGAGCTGGAAAAAAAGCCCCCAAATCTCGAATGGTCCCAAATGCTCAAAAAAACCGCCGCAGCTGCTCAAGATGACTTCCTCGGCGGCCTTCCGATGCATGCAGGCAGGCTTATGAAGAAGCCCGTTCCCGCCACAGCGGGAGCTTGCCCTGCGTTGGTTTGAGGCTGGTATCACATGGCGGGGCGATGACGACGAGGCTCGCCGAGAAGCCCAACTCGACGCTGAGAAGCTATCAGTGAGTGGCAGGCGGCTGTCTACTGTAGAGACGTAGAGGCACAGAGAGCATGAGCTTCCAGCGAGGTGGAGCCTGGCAGCTAGCGGAGGCCGAAGACCCATAAGAAACATGGCCGAAGGCGAACCATCAAGGCCGTCTACGAGATCCCCGCACCGGTTTCGGCAGCATAGCGCAGACGCTGCAGGCTCAGGTGGCGACTCAGCATCTCCAGAGAGAGGTGAAGGTGTTTTTGGACGGCCTCCGGGGAACCAGGACCGGCCCAGAGAGGCTACAACAGCTTCACATGAAGGCCTTGGGGGCAAGCTCCCCCTTCATGCTGGAGGCCATCGACGCGCTGACCAACAAAGTGGCCGCGGAGCCGCTGAAGGACCGTCTTGCGAGCACCACTGCGGCGGGCATGAAGAAGGTGTTCCAAGCCCTGGGGGTGCCGGCCAACGTGCACTCCGACGACGGCTCCAAGTTCAGGAGTTCAAGGAGCTGATGGATTTCTGGAACCTCTCTCTGTTATTTGTGAAATCTAAAACCGCTCACAGCGCATCTTCAGAGGTTTTCGTTCAGCAAATGTGGATTCTGCGAAAATTTGGTGGTTTTGCACAGCCCTTCTGCTTGCACTTCTGCAAGGGTTTTCAGCTTGCTTCAATATGCAGGCAAAACGGGTCCTAGTCGCATTCTGTGCGTCTCGGAAGTTTAAGTTGCCCGGGCTTAAAGTGCTGTTTCTGGCCTTGTAAGTGCGTTTTCTGTTGCGGAGCTTTGTGGCTCGAAAAGCATGATAAGTGCTTTCTAAGCGCAACGGTAACTCAGAGCAGAAGGGTGGAATTCTCTTGGCCTCATTTGCTGCATGTGAGCCTTGGGTTGCGTCTCCGTCAATCCTGTGCCGGCAACAGGATTGCATTGCTGGGTTAGGGCAGCCGCAGATAGGCCAGCGCGTATACTTCAGCTGCCGGCTTCCGGAACTTGCGTAACGCAAAAGGACGAATGGGGAAGATCAAGCTTTTCCCCACGCCTGAGTACACCAGCAAGCAAGCCTCGGACCCCGTGGTGCCCCTGGTGCCATGCACGGGCATCTTCCTTGGGCCCAGCAAGTCGGGCAAAACTGTGGCGCTCATCAGTCTCATCCTGGAGCAGTACAAGGGCGTGTTTGAGCGGATCTACGTTTTCAGCCCAAGCGTCAACATCGATGATGGCTGGATCCCCGTCAAGAAGTACATCGAGCAGGACCTGGGGGTGAACACGGAGCGTGAGCGCTGTTTCTGGCCTTGTAAGTGCGTTTCTGTCGTGGAGCTTTGTGGCTCGAAAAGCCTTCTGCTCATATCCAAGCGCTTTCTTGGGCGCAGGCGCTCCCTGGGTTAGGGTTTAGGGTTTAAGGTTTAGGGTTTAGGGTTTAGGGTTTAGGGTTTAGGGTTTAGGGTTTAGGGTTTAGGGTTTAGGGATCCCTCCAGTCTTCTTGAGTGGCGCAGTGGTTGACGTGTTGAGCCCCGTACCCAACTCGCCGTCCGGGCAGGAATCGAGCCGCGCGGAGTAAGAAGCGCTCAGTTCCTTGGCCGACGCCTTAGCCACTGGACTAAGGCGTCGGCGAAAACATATGTAAACATGTTTGAAGGACCTGTCACCGGCAACATCCCGGAGGTCCTGGACAACGGAGAGGTAACTGACGGCACGCACGTCACCGCAGGGCAGCTGGCCCTGGCTCTGACGCCCTACGCGCAAGTAACGGACCTGGCGGTGAACACGGCAGCCTCCGGCAACAACGCAGCGGCCATCCAGTCCCTGGACGACCGGGTCACCGCAGAGCTGGCCTCAAAGCTGGACAGCAGCGCGCTGGCGCCGGCAATTGCGCCTCTTGCCACGGCGGCGGCCCTGGCCACCACGGACGGACAGGTGGCCGCGCACGGAAGCAGCATCGCAGCGCTGCAGAGCTCGCTGACCACGGGTCTCTCCAACAAGGCAGACCAGCCCGGAAGGACGTTTTCACGACCAACCAGATCACCTTGGCGCTGGTGGCGTACCGCTCGGCTGCCGACCAGGACACGGCAACGGGGCATCCAGACGCTGAAGAAGGACCTGGCCACACGCATGTCCCGCAAAAGCGGGCAGTGGAGCGACCACTTTGAGCGTGCCGCGGGGGCCTACAACCCGGCCACACAAGACGGTATACGGCGCCCCGAGGACGTGGAGAAGCAGCCGGCCACCGAGTTTTCGGCTGCTGCAGGACAACGCCGACAAGTTCCAGCAAAACAAGGACCTCACGGACCGGCGCATCAAGGCCGTGGAGGACGCGGGGGCTTTCCGAGGGCTGCTGGCCGTGGACTCCATCACCGTCCGGAGCACCGAGTGGCCGGGAGACCCTGCTGAAGCTGGCGCTGCCGGCGCCCCAGGGCAGCGGCAACACGGCGGGCCGACTGACGAGGCGGGGCAGACCGGCTGCGGTGAGGCAGCGGGTCGACTGCCTGTGGCCCAGGCGGCCCAGAAGCGATCGGGCCGCTGACCTTCTTGAGCAGACTTGACGGAAGCAACATGCCTTAGCTTGTGGAGAGAAGTTTTAGCCCAAACACGATTTTGCGAATCTCGACCTTAGAGCGATCCCTGGACCCCGCCCAAAACGGCCATTCAGTTTGTGGATGCAAGCCTGACACCCATGGAACATGTGAAGCCTCTTGTGACCTGAAGTCCGCCCTGCTCCCACCTGCTAGCGCGATTTTTGTACACTCACAAAAGCCTCAGCACGTCCAGCTGCGCAATGATAGTCTCGCAACTCATGAGAGAGTATTTCTTCTCCTCCTGACGTCTGGCCCATGTCTTGTTTGTAAAGGACTGCCAGCCTTCAGACTCACTGCAAATCTGCAGCAACACATTTTGCATTTCCTCAAAGTTGTCCTTCTTCGCCTTGTCCTGCAACTTCAGGCCGTCTGCATCCTTTTTCTGTTCATAACGACATTGCGCAGCAATGAACTCGAGCTTACCAGTTGCCTTGCATCTCACGGGGATCAAAAGGTCGTGGTGAGCCGTTGCAAAATTCCGGTTGGACTTGATGGCCTTCCCAACGTCACTCATGACAGTTGCTTCATTGCCTTGGCCGCTTGGATGTTCCACACCATCACTCCAGCAAACTTCGAAAGGCTCCAAAACAGCTCGCAAATGTGGATCCTCCGTAGGGTAGATCTTCAAAAAAGGGACCCAGGTGACTTCAGCAATCAGGTTTCTTGCTATGCAGTGAAGGCGGAACCGCGCTGCCAGGGAATTTGCAACCAGCTCTTCCCACTTCTCCCCCCTTTCAGTGGCACCCCTTGTTGGGCTGTTGAGCAACTGCAAGGAATCTGGCAGGAGCCCCTCCAGGTCAATGTTCAGCTCTTTCAAATCGTTTCGGATGGCGTCTTTGATATTGGTATCCTCACACCACCACAGCCGTGGAACCAGTACGGACTTGTTGTTTGGAAATGCTGCTCCGGCCCTGAAGATGTCTGACCACCTCACTGAGGTTCCGGGCACAAGCTGGTGGCCTTCTGCAGGCCATCGAACCGCCGAGCAAAGAACCAACGCCAAAGCCACTTCTGGCTGATTGAAGTAGGGGGCTGCATCCGCATACGAGCTTCTGAACTCCTGCGACATGGCATTGAGTGCAACCTGAGCAGTTGATGCCAACTCACCCCAGGTCTGGAAAGCCGCCTCCAGAAGCCGGGGTACCCCAGCCGAGAAGAGGTGAATGTTGTCGAATTCCTTCTTCTTGTATTGCATGCCTCCCCACTCTGCCATGGCCCGTCTGGCGGCTTGCAGCGACAATGGCGCCAGAGCCGGTACTTCCTGGACCTTAAGCGAGGTGTACTCCTCCGATGGCCTATCGGTCAAGATATTCACCGTGCCTGCCGAAAACATGCCCATCTTCTGCGGGAATTCGCCAAATATTTCGGTGAAAGCTGATTTCTGTCCACCATGGTGGCTCAGTCCCTCGACCTCATGATTCACAAGCAGCTCTGCCTGATCGAGGAACACCAAGCAAGCGCAGTCTGGTGTTGCGTTGAAGGCTGCAGCCGTCACCAACAGCCACTGCTCGAAGACGCCCTGCTTCTTTCGACAAAATGAGCCAAGCCAAACTTCGAAGCTGTCGCACATATCAATTTCACGTCGTACCGATGTACGTTTGAGGGCCTCCAGCACTGCAGTGAAGTCCATGCCCCTAAAACTCACCACCAGCCCACTCACTTCGATGCTGTACCCGCACAGCAACTGTGACAGGTGCCACACGACAATTGCAGAAGCAATCCTACTGGGAGCTTCCTGCAACGCTGACTTTGGAATCTCTCGCGCATCAACCACTAAAAGCCGCCCACATCTTCGGCTTTCTGAGAAGTTCGGGACCTTCAAAGCCAGGTGTCGGACAAGCGATGTCTTGCCGGTGCCCCTTGGGCTCCACAAGGCCAAGACCGTCGGCTTGTTGGTCCCATTCCTTTGGATCTGTTCTATTTGCTCCACAAGACTCCGAACAACCGCCTCCCTTTCTAGAAACGGCCTCTCATCCTTGTTGTTGATTCGGCTATTCAAAAAGCGGTCTTCGAAGTCCAAGAGATCTGTGGCGCTAAAACGAGGGAGCTCAACCTGCGCGGGAGGCGCATGAGGGAATGCTGGGAAGGACAAACAATCACAACAAACCAAACACGCATCGGCAATTGGTGAGAAAATCGATTGCTAGCAGGTTCCTTCCCACTGGCTCATGTTTCTTGCAAAACGCTAACCATTCACAACAGATCACAAAGAAGCATGGGTACTTAGTGCGAAAGCCGAGCACTAGGAAAGCAAGGAACACAAGTAACACAAGGGTACCAAAACCGAAACAAAACCAAATTTCCAGCAGGAACACTGCCCATGAAAGCAAAGCGGGAGATGCGTGGTTCAGCTCAACAATCCTTTTGTGGGGCTCCACGCTGAGCAAAACCACTGAGTTCCCAGGCGTCAAATATGTTGAGGTTCTGTGGATGTGATCAGGGCAGCCCCACTGAAAGCATTTCCGCGGGGAAATCAAAACCACACAAAACGTCAAACGGCACGTCTCAACGTCACCCGGCAGCAGAAATACATTGTGCACACTTTAGCAATCTCCTCCATGCTCGTGCTGTCGGAACAAAATTTAACCTTCGGATTGCATTGTGTCTGCAGCAGCAACGACCATGGCAGAAGGGTAGGTCTTGCTCTTCAAAAGGCAGGCGACTGGAACAGCAGGCTCTTCAATATTTGCGGGTTCCCCCTCGACTGTTTGATAGTTTTGCGCTAAACACTCACACCAAATCAGGCAGATATGAACAGGTACGGAGAAAAATGAACAACAGAACGGGATGGAATGGCAGCAACACGGGCAAAACATGGGCAAGAACACCGCCAGGGAGATCAAAGAGAACATTCATAGAATGCACTTGTGCCTGCAGCAGCAAGGACCCCAATGGGTGCAAAGACGTCAGAGTTTGCCCTCCCTCTCCCCGGCAGACGGGCAGGTCTTGCTCTTTCAAAAGCAGGCTGGGGGCAAGCGCAAAATCACTCACAACGATCAACGGCACGTCTCAATCAATGTCGACCAGCAGGAATGACCGACCTCCAACAAGGAAAGGCAACCATCCGTTCATGGGGGCTCCATACCGAGCCTGCCAACGACACGAACCGCCGCAATCTGCAAAAATGCTATCTTGGGATTTCCTCATTCGGATGTTGATCAGGGCAGCCCCATTGAAAGCATTTGCGGGCCGCAGGGGGAATTCCTCAAAACCGCACGCAACGACCAATGTCTCAGAACAAAGTCAAGAGCAAACGATTTTCCAGCCGTGCCTGGGGCTCCTGCAACAACTGGATCTTCTTGGTCAGCAGCACTGCTGGGCCACGGGGGATGCCATCCTGCATCATCTGCTCCAGCGTGAGCTCCAGCAGGGACTTGCCCGTGACGCCCTGCTGCTGCAGTGCGGTCACCGTTTGCTGGATGAGCTCGTCGTCTGCTTCCAGCCCACCATCGATCAGCACAGCCTCTGCCCAACTGGACACCTGGGCCTTCTTGAAGCCCTCCACCTCCTCGCGGCTCTTGGCGAGCCAGTCCTGCCAGCACTCACCAACAACCAAGCCTGGCGCATGCGAGCCCCCGGCCTCCGCACCACTGTCCTGGCACGATTGCAACCGGCCAAATTTACAACTGCTGATTGGAGCGTCCTGCTGCGGGCTGGCGCGCGAAGCAACTCCGCCACGCCCAGGGTGCCAGCTTGTCACCTCAAGAGCTGAAATTTAGGCAAAAAAAAACACATCAACGCCGAGATCTGGACCTGTGCCCTGTGGGAATCCTGGCGGACCAATTGCACCAACTCGACTCACACACCCCAGCTGTGCGCACGAACCGACGGCCTCTTCCAAGCCCTTTTTGGTTGCTTTGGCCTGCGTCGCACGAAAACCGCTTGCGAATCTCAGACAAAGCACGCAGTCCTGCCTCCTCCACAAACTCGCGCAGTTTTTGTTGCAACTCGTCTTTCTTCCCTGAAAGGGTCCACTTCCCTGGATATATCTTCTGCGCTTTTCCTGAGCTCAACACTTTCACCGCTCTTGAAAACCCCGACACACGTGCTGCTCCAGCGGCGCAAGACGGCTTTGGTCTCTTTCACCGTGCCGTTGTCCTCCAGCACCCTGTCGGCTTCTGCGACCACCTGAGCGAGGCCAAGCTGGGACGTCGCTTTCTCTGAAGGTCCGCCGCCTCCTCGAGATCGCGCCGGTCCTGACAACCAACAAGCCCAACGTTCAAGCCCGATGCACGTGTCCCCCAGGCCTGGCCACTGTTGTCCTGGCGGCAACCGGCAAACGATGCGAACAGGCTTCGGGTCGGAGGAGTCCTCTTGCGCAGCCCCGGCGCGCCGAGCGACTCCGGCATGCAACGGGTGAAGGCCCGCCGCCTCCTCGAGATCGAGCCGGTCCTGGCAGCCAAGAAGCCCAGCGTTCTGATGCACATGTCCCCCAGGCCTCGGCATTGTTGTCCTGGCAACTGCAATCGTCCAAACTTGCAAGCTTTGGGTCCGAAGGTCCTCTCGTGCAGCCCTGGCACGCAAGGCGACTCCAGCATGCAACCAGCGCTGGCTCGAAGCCTCACTAAGCTCGCAGGATGCGAAAAGGGTCAATCTGCTTGCGTTAGTGGACAAGTCTGAAGATTGGGCCGGTGCGCCGTTGCGGTCCTCGCATCACAGCACAAGCAGGAACATTCGCAAAGAGGGACTTCACGGTCCTTCCGACCGGGAACTCCTCGCGAAAACTCGTGGGCGGCGGACAGGGACTCCTGAAGCCCGAACGAGTCAGCTGCCAACCCCTCAACGTTCCCAAGACCCAGGCCGTGCTCGGCCACTGCAATGAGCAACGCCAGCGCATTCCCAGGCTGAGGCACGCACCTTGCAAAACCACACAACAAACAGCGCAGCAAATCAGCTTGCGGGCCTTGGCTTTTTATCCTGGCCCTCATCACAGCCATGGCCATTCCTGAACTTCACGGGCCTGCAAGGCCAATCCTACCGCTGGATACGTCGGCAATGTGTGCCCAGTGCCTTCAAGCATTTGATGAGCACTCTTGGGCGGCGGACGACTTCTTGCGTGCCAACATGTCCTTGCTTCGTGTCATGTTGGTCCGCGTGTTCACGACCCTACGCGGCTTGTTTACTAGCACTCTGGTTGCCGCTGGCGCTGCTGGAGCCGTCAAAGACGCCACTTTGCCGATGCCCTTGCACTGGACTGACACTCAAAGCTCCTTTCGCTCCCCGAATGCCCCAAATTGCCTGTACAGTCACAAAGATCAACTATGCTATCTCGCCGCCGGGGGTCAAAAGGTAAGGGTCTGCCAATACACTTCAAGAGCATTGTCAACTTCGCATGAAGGCAGACACTGCTGATTTTTACATGGCTGGCATCCTTCATGGAAGAAGAGCGTCTCAAAGAACGTCGGCCGGCAGAAGCGAACGACCTCCCCGAATGGCAAGGAAGGTCAACATTCGATTCATGGGCTTCCACACTGATTCGTTTCCCGTCTGCCAACAATGCAGCCAGCTGAAATCTATGAAGACAGGAAGCGCAATTTTGACGCTGTTGCAGCCATTGGGGTCGTTGCTGCTAAAGGCACAGGTCGATCCTAATGTTTTATTTGGTTCCAACAGCATGAGCATGGGGGAGATTGCTAAAGTGCGCACAATGTATTTCTGCTGCCTGCAGACTTTGTGTTGAGGTGTGCCGTTGGTCGTTGTCTGGGCTGTTGATTTCCCCCGCAGCCCGGAAATGCTTTCAGTGGGACTGCCCTGATCACATCCACAGAACCAGGAAATCCCAAGATAGCGTTTGTGCTGTCTTCCCTTTCTCAAGAGGAAGCGCTGCAATCTGCGCAAATGCAATCTTGGGATTTCCTGGTTTTGTGGATGCGCTTAGGGCAGCCCCACTAAAAGCACGCCGGGCGGTCGGGGAAATTCAAACCCCTCAACGTTCCCAAGACCCAGGCCGAGCTCGGCCACTGCAATGAGCAACGCCAGCGTAACTGCTGATTAAAGCGTCCTGCGCCACGCCAAAGGTGCCAGCGTGCCACCTCAAGAGCTGAAAATCCAGGCAGAAAAACATCACAGCAAAACCGAGATCTGGACCTGTGGCCCGAGAGAATCCTGGCGGCAACACACAAAAAACAGCCAAGATGCCAGGAATCTAGTGTCCTCCTTCTTCGCCTCCTGGACCTCCTTCTTCGCCTCCTGGACCTCCTTCTTCGCCCTCTCCACCTTCCTTTCCGCCTTCTCCACCTCCTTCTTCGCCTCCTGGACCTCCTTCTTCGCCCTCTCCACCTTCCTCTCCGCCGCCTGCACCTTTTTCGCATCGCCCGATTCCTCCGCCCGCGCCTGGGCCGTCTTGACCTGCGCCTGGGCCGTCTCTTGCTGCGCCAGAGCAAGTTGCAGCTGCTGCCGCGCCAGGAGCAGGTCCTGCCCAGCAAGACTCACACGCCGAAGCAGCGTGCACAAACAGACGGCCTTCTCCAATGCCCTTTTGGCTGCTTTGGCGGAAAAAGAAAATGCCGCGAAATGTGGATCTCACCTTTAGGCAAAGGAAGCAAACAGCCCTGCCTCTTCCACGAACTCGGCCCGCATTCTCTGGTCCGCCGCCTCCTCGAGATCGCGCCGGTCCTGACAACCAACAAACTGTTGTCCTGGCGGCAACCGGCAAAAGATGCGAACAGGCTTCGGGTCAGAGGAGTCCTCTTGCGCAGCCCCGGCGCGCCGAGCGACTCCGGCATGCAACGGGCGCCGTTTTGCCTGAAAGAGCCAAAGTGCAATCTGCTTGCGCCTGCGGGCAACTCTGAGAACTGGGCCAATATGCTGTCCTGGCACTCAGCACGAAACAAGAACATCCAAAGGAGGGACTTCATGCTCCTTCAGCCCAGGAACTCCTCGAGCAAAGTCCTGGGCGGCGGCGACAAGGGACTCCTGAAACCCGAAAACCTTCGAAAAAATGTGTCCCAAGACCCAGGCCGTGCTCGGCTGCACGAGCAGCGCCAATGCGACCCCGAGAAGGCAGAGGCACATACCTGGCCGCTGCCCACCGCGGGCACGGTAGCGTCACAAGCTTGCCAGCCTCGGCTTTTGGTCCTGGTCCGCATCATCGCCATGGCTATTCGAAAAGCGCTTGAGCGGCCTGCGATTCCTCAAGCGCTGGCACTAGACCCATCGGGCAACCATTGCGAGCTGTTGTTGTGTCAGTGTTGATGAGTACACTCGAGCCAAGTTTCCAGAGCAAACACAAGATTGACTGGCTTCTTTGGCAACACCAACGCTCGGGTTTGGATGCTCCTCCTCCTTTTCACTCGCGGCCTGAAGGTCGGTCGGGCCAAGCCTTGCAAGGCTTCGCAGCGTCCATCCGTCAGACTGGCTGACCCACATCCTGCCGCTGCATCAAAGTCCAAGCGAGATACCAAACTGGCCTGCCTGCAAAACAAGCAGCCGAAATCGGCACCGGGCCGCCAGGGGCTGAAGGGCGGGGGTTTCTGGGGTCCCTGGTCCCTGGGATCACTGGGGCCTCTGGGGCCCTAGGGTCCCTACATTCCCTAGGGTCCCTAAGGTCCCTAAGGTCCCTAGGGTCCCTAGAGTCCCTGGGGTCCCTGCACACGTGTGCATCAGACGTCTCGCCAAGGCCCCAGAGTGCGCTCATCCCTGTCAACGCACGGCGGGTTCAGGGACCTTGGGGACCTTAGGGACCTTAGGGACCTTACCTTAGGGACCCTAGCAACCCTGCAAACCCTACCCTAGGGACCCTAGGGACTCCGAGGACTTCAGGGACCCAGCGACCCAGGACTTCAAGAGATCCTTGGTGGCCCCAAGGATTTTGGGGCTTGAGGGGATCTTGGCAAGAACTTCACGCCGGGTACCACTCAGCCTGGGCATTCTCCAGCATCATAGGGTCATGCAAAAACACAAAATGCCGAAGCCAAGACACACACACACATTGCAAATGGGCCACAACACCACAACATCATCTCCCGACTACAAACACGGATGTAGAAAACACCATGTAGAGACATACCAACATAAAGGCACAAAGACATAAAGATATAAAGATATAAAGAGAAAGGTATAAAGATACAAAGATATAAAGATATGAATTTGTAGAAATACAAAGATATAAATGTATGAAAATTCATAAAGAGATACAAATACGTAGAGATATGAAGATATAAATGTATGAAAATAAACATGAGTACACGAAGATAAATAGATGTATGGCAAGTTGCTCGAATGGAAAAACAACAGAAGCTTTGCCCTTCCGCGCGTCTTTGTGTCCCCTTGCGTGGCAAGCTGCAACCAACCGAAGCTTGAGAGATGACTTCACACTTCACAGGATCTCTTGCCCCCAAGACCCAGGGTTGCTGGGGTCCCTAAGGTTTTTGGGGTCCCTAAGGTCCCTGGGTCCCCAAGGGTCCGTAAGGTCCCTAGGGTCAAAACGCCGTGTGTTGACAAGGATGGATGCACTTTGGGACCCTGGCCAGACGTCTTGATGGAAGGACGTTGTTTCATGGCACCTGCAGCGGACGCCCGCGTGCCCAGGAGGGACCCAGGGACCCCAGGGACCCCAGGGACCCTAGGGACCCCAGGGACCCTCGGGACGGACCGTCAGGGCTTCACTGGGTCAAAGATCAAGGGGGCTGACAGATTGGTGACAAAGATCAAATGACAATAACCTGCACGGGACCTCTTGGCCATGACAATGGAACGCGGCGAGGGCCCGGGCGGAACGTGGAGCTCGAGGCGCAAGCTCAAAAGTTCGGAGTGCCTGAGCGCCAGGAAAAAAAGGTGATTTTGAGGAAACCACACTGCCTGACTTACAAAAGACCTGACAGTACGACTTGACGGGGTTGGGGCAATCGCTCTCAAGGTCAAGGGTTCACCAGGTTGGAGAGACAATACAAAATTCGGGCCTGGCTCAACGAGGTCACGATTTCCAAAGATACACGGGCCTGACGGCGCGGCTTGACGGGGTTGGGAAAAGCACACAAAAAAACAACGCAAACCTCACCGGGTCAAAGAGATCAAGGTTGGGCCCCACCCTGAAAGCTCAGTTGAAATCCGCACATCAACACTGACGGCGCAATCAGCAAAAAGGCCCGAGTCGCGCAAATCCTGGCACGGGACGGGGGGGGTGTCCGGGCCTCGCTAAGCCAAAGATCAGGGGGCCTGACAGATTGGCGAGTTGGGACCCAAACCTCAAAGATCAGTTGGCATTGATGGCCATGACAACGGAAGCAGCGAAGGCCCGGGCAGTATGCCTCGATGTCAAAAAAAAGCCTGGCACGGGGAAGCGCGAAAACACGACCTTCAAAATCCAGGACCAAACCTGAAACACTGCTCAAAGGCCGAGTTGACACCAATCCGCACAGGTGCCCAGCCAAAGAGTCCCCAGTAGCACGAATTGGATCCACCTGCAAGCGGCCAACAAAAAGTGATAAAAAGGCAACTCGCGGCGCTGCAAGAAGATCTGCACGTTCTGGGCACAGGGCACGTGAGGTCAAGAAAAACTGTGAGTCTGAAACCACGCCTTTGCACCCGCGAGCGGTTCCCTGCCGCCCCGTACCCCAGAGTGTCCCCGAATCTCGCCTTCACAAGGCCCACGTGCTTGGAGAAGCTCTTTCCAAACACGACCGACAACGTGAAAATCGTGAGAAAAACGCAACACCGGCAACTTGTCATGCAAAATCACCCTCAAAAACCATGCAAAACTGAATTTACGGAAAACTTCTTTTCTTAGCTCCGAAGAGCTCCGCTTGAGCCAAACAAAAATATTAACCACATACAACAACCATATATAAACATTCAAATATATATATATATATATATATGGTCATTGTCGACATTCCCTTATAGATGACACGCTCGCACTGCTTTTACGGCTAGGCTCGGGGGAAGTCATCTTAGTCCACATGGACATATCCGTATCTCACATGAGATCTCAATACATCTTCAACGCACAATCCCCCGTCCACCCGGACAGGTTCTTGTCTAACGCACAATCCGTCATCTTAGTCCACATGGACATATCCGTATCTCACATGAGATCTCAATACATCTTCAACGCACAATCCCCGTCATCTTAGTCCACATGGACATATCCGTGTCTCACATGAGATGTCAATACATCTGCAGCGCACAATCCCCCGTCCACCCGGACAGGTTCTTGTCTCACATGAGACTATGATACATCATCAACGCACAACATTCGTCCACATGGACGCGTGCTCACTCAACATGAGTGTTGAAACTTCTGCGAAGCAGAAAACCCCAACACGGAGTTGGGCATGGGTGGGAGGTGGGAGCGAAAATTTCCGGCCAAAACATGGGGGAACCCTCCCGCCCACCACTGAGCCAAATTGACGTTCGGCTGTATGAAATACATTGTGCACACGCACAAGCACATACATCATGCCAACTACATGTGTCATAACAAACCGGAGCTTCATCACGCGTAAGGCAAACCGCGTAAAGACAGGCTCAGCGGACCCCAAAACCCCTCCCACACATAGACAACAGGGGGAGGGGGGGTTTCTACGCACGCAAAGAAGGTTTTATCTTCTACGAAGAGTGCCACCTTCTTTTCTTAGCTCCGAAGAGCTCCGCTTGAGCCAAACCAAAATATTAACCACATACAACAACCATATATAAACATTCAAATATATATATATATATATATATGGTCATTGTTGACATTCCCTTATAGATGACACGCTCGCACTGCTTTTACGGCTAGGCTCGGGGGAAGTCATCTTAGTCCACATGGACATATCCGTATCTCACATGAGATCTCAATACATCTTCAACGCACAATCCCCCGTCCACCCGGACAGGTTCTTGTCTAACGCACAATCCGTCATCTTAGTCCACATTGACATATCCGTATCTCACATGAGATCTCAATACATCTTCAACGCACAATCCCCGTCATCTTAGTCCACATGGAACAATCCGTGTCTCACATGAATGTCAATACATCTGCACGCACAATCCCCCTCCACCCGGACAGTCTTGTCTCACATTGAAGAACTATGAATACATCATCAACGCACAACAGTCGTCCGAAAATGGACGCGTGCTCACTCAACATGAGTGTTGAAACTTCTGCGAAGCAGAAAACCCCAACACGGAGTTGGGCATGGGTGGGAGGTGGGAGCGAAAATTTCCGGCCAAAACATGGGGGAACCCTCCCGCCCACCACTGAGCCAAATTGACGTTCGGCTGTATGAAATACATTGTGCACACGCACAAGCACATACATCATGCCAACTACATGTGTCATAACAAACCGGAGCTTCATCACGCGTAAGGCAAACCGCGTAAAGACAGGCTCAGCGGACCCCAAAACCCCTCCCACACATAGACAGGGGGAGGGGGGGTTTCTACGCACGCAAAGAAGGTTTTATCTTCTACGAAGAGTGCCACCTTCTTTTCTTAGCTCCGAAGAGCTCCGCTTGAGCCAAACCAAAATATTAACCACATACAACAACCATATATAAACATTCAAATATATATATATATATATATGGTCATTGTTGACATTCCCTTATAGATGACACGCTCGCACTGTTTTTACGGCTAGGCTCGGGGGAAGTCATCTTAGTCCACATGGACATATCCGTATCTCACATGAGATCTCAATACATCTTCAACGCACAATCCCCCGTCCACCCGGACAGGTTCTTGTCTAACGCACAATCCGTCATCTTAGTCCACATGGACATATCCGTATCTCACATGAGATCTCAATACATCTTCAACGCACAATCCCCGTCATCTTAGTCCACATGGACATATCCGTATCTCACATGAGATTTCAATACATCTGCAGCGCACAATCCCCCGTCCACCCGGACAGGTTCTTGTCTCACATGAGACTATGATACATCATCAACGCACAACATTCGTCCACATGGACGCGTGCTCACTCAACATGAGTGTTGAAACTTCTGCGAAGCAGAAAACCCCAACACGGAGTTGGGCATGGGTGGGAGGTGGGAGCGAAAATTTCCGGCCAAAACATGGGGGAACCCTCCCGCCCACCACTGAGCCAAATTGACGTTCGGCTGTATGAAATACATTGTGCACACGCACAAGCACATACATCATGCCAACTACATGTGTCATAACAAACCGGAGCTTCATCACGCGTAAGGCAAACCGCGTAAAGACAGGCTCAGCGGACCCCAAAACCCCTCCCACACATAGACAGGGGGAGGGGGGGTTTCTACGCACGCAAAGAAGGTTTTATCTTCTACGAAGAGCGCCACCTTCTTTTCTTAGCTCCGAAGAGCTCCGCTTGAGCCAAACCAAAATATTAACCACATACAACAACCATATATAAACATTCAAATATATATATATATATATGGTCATTGTTGACATTCCCTTATAGATGACACGCTCGCACTGTTTTTACGGCTAGGCTCGGGGGAAGTCATCTTAGTCCACATGGACATATCCGTATCTCACATGAGATCTCAATACATCTTCAACGCACAATCCCCCGGCACTACTGGTTGAAGACACCAAGCCTGCGAGATTATCATCCAAGGGTACACAGACCTGTGGGTTCCTTCCAAACCTTCAAACTGACCTCTGGAAGGTCATTCAGAGATATTGGCTGCACTTGCAACACACTCATAACATGTCGCCAGATCGTGACAGATCCCGACCGTAGTGACAAAGTCAAAGACTTTGTTCAAGAAGGTATTGGTTGATCGGCAGCTGATCAAAGAGGAACGCACAGCTCCATTATCACTGAAAAACCAAAACATCAACATGCTGGAAAAGTTGGAATGAGTCACAAAGGCCGCTGCAATGGCCAAAGCCTCAAACTCTGCTGCGAGCGTCTTGCGCGCCACACAGCGCACTGCATGTATTGCATCAAGTTGAGGCGGAGTCAACAGGGTAATTTAGCAGGCGATACTGTCGCCTGATGCGCTGAGTAATGTACCACCAAGACCGGCCATTTCTCCAGGTTCGTAACACGCGTCTCTGAACAAGCGAAAGGTGTCACGATGCGGGCGCTGGAGTGACCTGGGAGGGCCCTTGCAAACGCAATTCTTGAATTGTTCGAGCACCCCCATCATCCTGTGGTTTAACAAACAGCCAGCCGGGTGTTTGGACATCAAAGTCAACTCGCCAAAGGGTAATTCGCGCATGCCTTCCGAAACTCGATTGTTTGCAACAACACACGCCCTCGCAGCACAGCTAATTCGCCACGTTGACGCTTCCCTCTCCGAAGAATGCCATTAATGAAGGTCTCCAATTCGCGCTGCCTCTCAGCAGTGTTCCCTGACATATACAATGCCCAAATTGCAACGCCTAGGTTGCAAATCACGCCAAGCAAAAGAGGACCCTCTTGTAATCCGTGATCTCCCACCTAGAAGAGAGAAGAAAGCAGTCACAACAAGGTTGGGGTGCGCATTCACCGAGAAATCATACATAAGGACAAAGTCATCGAAATATATACCTTCCAGTGCAAGTAGTAAAGGGGGGGTCTCCAAGCTGCCAAATAGCCCGTGAAATGCGGCAAAAACCCCGACAGCTGCACGGGCACCGAAAGGAAAACAAGGCTCTGAAATATTGACGGTCACCAGGATCGACAACCACGATATAAGCATCAGACAGCGCCTTGTCAAGGAGAGGCAGGTGTTGTATGCTTTTCGCAAATCCATGGTGCGGATATTGAGGTTCTCACTCACACCTCGCTATATGGCAGCACGGCTTCTGAGAGCAACACCAGACACCACAACGTCAATACCGTGCACTTCAATAGACTCACTGCAGCTGTTTGT